GGTCGTGTTCGTCACCCGATCCGGCGTTCGCGAACGGAAGCAAAATTAGGCAAACGGTGCTGTTCGTGACCCGAATTGGTCGTGAACAGAAGCATTCGTGACCCGAGGTACCACTGTATACAATACAAATATTGTTGTTGTTTTCTGTTTATCTAGGCTTTTGTGGATATTTGGTGTAAAAATCTTTAATGAGTTTGGGAGCTTTCACATTGTGGCTGCCTACCCATTCATAGTTTGTTTTGGGGAAGTGTTTCCATTGCACTAAGTATTGCAGTTTGCCTTTGTGCTTTCTAGAGTCCAGTATGGCTTGTACTTCAAAATGACTTTCTCCCTCAATCATGATTGGATTGCGATTCTGTTTGGTAGGATGCCACGTCAGGATTATTAAGAAACAGGAATTTACCCTTTTTGAGTAATAACTAAGTACTGATTTCTTGGGTGTGTGTTCTGTATTTTGTTGCAAGTTTGATGTTAACCAGTGATTTTCTTTTTTTCAGGCTGTGTGGTTCCAGGTGCTGGAGCCCTAGAGGTGGCAACAGCTGATGCCCTTGTGAAACATAAGCCCAGTGTGAAAGGAAGAGCCCAGCTGGGGGTTCAGGCATTTGCTGACGCATTGCTTATCATCCCTAAGGTAGGAAGCTTCTGGACAAAAACATCTAGTAGATATCTTGAGCTCTGTAGGTACCATCGAGAAGACTTTACAGCTGTCAGCATAGATACGTCCGAAAGGAAAATGAAAAAGGGGTAAAGAACAGTCAATTCTAAGTATATATTGGGCATTTATCTCCACTAAATACCAAATAGTTCATTTCCTGACAGAGTGAGAAATACAAAATTATTTTTTCCCTTATTTATTCTTACAGGTACTTGCTCAGAATGCTGGCTATGATCCTCAGGAAACGCTAGTTAAAGTTCAAGCAGAATATGCTGAGTCAGGACAACTAGTTGGTGTGGACCTAAATTCTGGTAAGTACAGGATGGTGGCTGCGAATGGCATGATTGACAAGGGCTTGAGATGTACTTTGTAATTCCAAACTGCTGGGTATTTTATGATCATCTTGATTTTTTTTCTTTTAGAAACTAATCTAGCAGATGTGTGATAGTCTTTCAAAATGACAGTTATTATAAACTGGTTCATTTGCAGGCTTTTATTTGGAAATCAGTGGTACTAAACCAACATGAATTTCTCATCTTTAGGGTATCTAGAATTTATTGTGGTGAACTGGTGACAATGGTTGTACTTTTTTTATTTGTGATCCTTTAGCAATTACATAATCTTGTAACTGCTAAAAGATCACAAATCAGAACATTGTAAACAAGGCTTGGTCCTGTTCCTAATAACGCAGGCAAGGGCAGGCTACAACCATTTAGTATGTCACAGATGGGGATCTTGTTACACTGTAGTTTAAGCAAAAATAAACATTTAAGATGATTGCTTCACAACAGTCTTCTTGTGGAGCTCCCATTCTACCTGAACTGTTATCTGAAGAAAAAATAATTTCCAAATGCTCCCAAAGGGAACACAGACAATTACTTGTCAGTTTCTAAACCATTTTTAACTGGATGGAATATTTATGTCTTTAGTTTTCCAAAATTCAAACCAGCTTGCACAGGGTGTGAATACTCTTGGATGTACATTATAAAACAGAACTCTGGCAACCGGTTGAAGACTATGGAATGTATTGTTGCCTTTTAATGAACTTTCTCCTGTGTCTTTCAGGTGAACCAATGGTGGCAGGAGCAGCTGGAATCTGGGATAATTACAGTGTTAAAAAACAGTTGCTTCATTCTAGGTAACATTTTATAGCTAACCATTTAAAAGAAAAATGACATTAACTGCATTTGGAATTGTATGTAGACCTACTTGACAATTAAGACCTAGTTGAGTATACTTTTTATATAAATAGGTTGGTCTGTTTTTCCAGACTGCTTTAATGCTAGTAACTAGATATGGAGTCTCATATTTCAGGATTTTTGCTTTTACTGTATGGAGAAAAAGCAGAAATGTAATTGGCCACGTGAACCTTCTTTAAAGAATGCAAGAAAAAGGGCTGAATGTACTTCTGCTAAATTAACTGTAAACTGACACCAGTGACATCTCTCTTCCTGTTTTCTCCAGCACTGTAATTGCTAGCAACATTCTCTTGGTTGATGAAATTATGCGAGCTGGAATGTCATCTCTCAAAGGCTGAATTGAAAGACCTTGAATGGGGAATCTCTCTACCAACAGTCTCCTGTATTCAAGTTAACAACATCCCTCTTTTCCAACATCTAATTCAGAATGATAGGAAGAAGAAAAGTCTACCTTCAGGAATTTGGCCACTCACAAATTGAAATCTTTCACTTCTGTAGAATCAATTACTATTTATTTTTTACACGCACTGAACAAATGCATCTGAAGTTACTGTCTTTCTACCCAATAAACAGTTTTGCGCTCTGGTCAGGCTTTAGCATGGTCTGTTATAATAATACTTGTCATTTGGATACTGCTTTCTATGGTTTCTGCTGCATTATTGGTATGAAATTCTGTGGCATGTACTGCCAGAAAAAAAAAAACCTTCTTACATACGCACTCAAGGTGATGCACTACAATAAATAAAACCTAATAAATTAATAGAATTAAAATCAAGGTGTTAAAATTAGTTTGAAATTAAAAGCCTGGTGAATGAGGTGCGTTTTTGCCATTTTCCTGAAACCCTCAAGTTTAAGGCACTGAATGACAAAATCTGAAGAGCAGGAGTATGCTGCACTGGGATGTTGGCTGAGGCGCTAGAAGGATTGGTGGGGTGGGAAGCAGGCAGTGGGACCTGCTCGAGCAGGGAAAAGTGAGACATCTTGCCATTCTTGAGTTAGGTTAGTCAACCCTTCCCCATTAGTATATTAAATCAAGCATTTGCCGTACCCCAGATTTATAAAGCAGCCAAAAAGCTGTTTACTAGTTGAAGATTCTGAGTCATCCAGGTGTAGTTATCTGGAGGTTGAGTCATGGCGACTGGACTTTTCGTTTGGTTTGATAGGTTTCGCTGCTTGTCCAAGCAGCTTCTTCAGTCTAGAAAGTTGGTTAGGGGGGACCCCGTAAATGCCTTCCAGGGTGGCTGCATTTCTCACTAACATGATGGGTTCGTTGAAGGGACAATAGGAGATGGAATTAGTAGAGTCTTTGGGATGTGGATGTCTTGCTCCTAATCCCTCACTCATCCCCAAGTGGGTCCTTAAGTGCTGCCTCCCTGTTGAACTTGTCTTAATCTTCCTGGGGACTGATGAAAGAGCAGCATGAAAAATGGGAGACGAGTTGTGTCTCAGGCCTCCACCTCTATTGAGGGGAGGATTTTCCACTTTGGCATAAATGGATTCCCTCACTCCTCTCAAACCACCTATCTTCTCTGTCCAAAATGTGAACATTATTGTCCTCAGATGAGTGTCCTTTTTCCTTTAGATGAAGGATTCTGCTGATTCTGGTCCTGTGTTGTTGCTCCTCCTGTGCTGGGCCATCCTCTTGTGTAAAGGCTGTTTGGTTTCTCCAATGTAGAGCTCTGAACATACCTCACTGCGCTGGATTGCATATACTACATTGCTCTTCTTATGTTTTGGTGTTCGATCTTTAGGGTATACGAGGTTCTGTCTCAGTGTTGGCGGAGGGCGGTGATTGCTGTCTGTGATGTTTTGCAAATATCCGTTTTATCTTCGACACATCATCCTGCACTGGATTGCATATACTACATTGCTCTTCTTATGTTTTGGTGTTCGATCTTTAGGGTATACAAGCCTCTGTCTCAGTGTGTTAGTGGGTCTGAAAAACAGGTATGTGATGTTTTGCAAATATCCGTTTTATCTTCGACACATCATCCATGTATGGAATTGCAAGATTCTTCTGTTGACTCAGTCTCAGCTCTGTCTGCCGATTTTTTCTTGGCACCAGAAGGAAGGAAGCAAAGGATCTGTACAAAA